CCCCCCCCCCCCCCCCCCCCATTGGGCTGAGTTAGGGGCTAAAAAAGGGGGGGGGATATTTTGGAAAATTTAAAAATCTTCTTTAGTTATAAAAATGCTCGGATCAAATACTACCCATAGCTTAAATACTTATTAGGGGAGGAGGGTCTGCTGGTGTAAATCATATGAGCCTGCCCCCCCCCCCCTAGGGGGCTGAGTTAGGGGCCGAAAAGGGGGAGGGGATTTAAGGAAATTTCTAAAATCTTCTTCTCCAGTTCTAGAAATGCTAGAATCAAATACTACTCATAGCTGTCACGGCCTTTGGATGGTTTATAAAATTTGTGATTTTCATGTCTCTTAGGGCCTCCAATTAACCCTGAGGAGGGGGTGAAATTTAGTACAGTTTATATATGAAATAGACATAATAGGCCATATCTTCCAATGTTCTGAACAGAATTTGCTCGTATTTGACAGAAATACTTGTTAGGGGAGGAAGGTCTGCTGGTTTAATTTTTGTGACCCTGACCCCATAGGGGGCTGGGTTTGGGGCGAAAAAGGAGGAGAACTTCAAAAATCTTCTTCTGCAGTTCCAGAAATTCTAGTATCAAATATTACTCATAGTTGTAAAGGCCTTCGAGTGGTTTATATACTTTGTGATTTTCATGTGCCCCAGGTCCCTCGTTTGCACGACGATGTAGCAATCATGTCTAGCTTGGCTTTTTTTTTACAAGATTATTTCAGTCGGTATTTCATGGCAGTAATGTAGATATGTCTATCGCGGCCAATTTAATGTGTTTTATTAGGGACATTTTAATTAGCATGTTCATGTAAGAGATGCAAACATGTCTTGCACTCGTTTAGGATGGTATCTTTTGCACGGCAGAGCTTCAAGCATGACTAACTTGGTAATTTTAATCAGTCTTTTGTACGGTGAAGTGAAAATATATCAAGAGCGGCCAATTTAAACAATGTTTTTTTTTATGGTGGAGATGCAAGCATGTCTCATGTCGCCAATTGTAACGGCATATATATAATAACGATGGTTACAGAGTTACCTCCCCTGTATCATTAAGCTTATATTATATTATATATTAGAGATTTATTTGCGTATGTATATGTTAACTGTAAATGTGTAATCAATGACGCAAAAAACTAGTAGTCTATGTGACAGGATATGTGATCGATTACGTCACTGTGTGACATGCTGGACATAATAGAATTGCGAAACTCTAGGCAGAGGAGTAATATTATGATGTCACAAAATGGCCGCATGTTAGGAGGTTGCAGTAGATCTAAACCGGAGTGTAAACTATCAAAATCATTATCTAACTCGTATGTATTATTATGTAATGATGCAATTAAGCGTAACTAAATGTGATTATTGAACTAATTAAAGAGTCATGTCAATCATACTTACGTACGCAACGAAAACGATAAGTCAGGTCACCGCAACCTATCCAAAAGAGAAAAGAAAAAAAAAGCAGGTAAACCGGTAGTTGTTCATGATCCCATTGAAATTACTGACGGGAAAATAACAACAACAATAACAAAACAAGGGAATACCGAAATGTCAATAAAACCACAATTTGAACTCAACGTCCATAAAACTAAAGCAAAATATGAACAGAAGGAAATATCTACATGGAGACCCTTGAAAAACACCAAGGAGAATACAATCAGGTGATCGGCAAGGGTAAGCGTCTTCTACTTCATCGACGACACCCGCCATGTAAATATATGCCAAATTCAGGTAATGGCACGTCCTCAAATCGAGAACCGGGTAGTGATAACATAAACCACGAAGCACACAAATGCGTATGGGGAAAAATGGGGAAATTTCCTTATCCGTGTAGATTACTTTCCTTAAAAGCAATTACCTATAGGAATGAACGATGTTGTTTAATGTTTATTCAAAACGTAACATCACTCCGAAAACGAAAAGAATGATTCCAAGCCAGAAGCAATATTACTATAAAATAACTAACTTTCATGGGGTGTTCTATTTCGTTGATTTTGTGGGTAATCTTCATGCACGAATTCATAGGTCCACGAAGTAATTACAAGTATGATATAAAAGCAGCACTCCGTGTGAGTGGGTACTCGTAATCCACGAATTCATGTACCCACGAAAAGCTAGTTTTTTTCACATTTATGTGAAGTTGGATGTCAACCAAGGCACAATAAAAACATCATTTATACACATAGCATATTTCGTCTACATAAGTTTATACATATTAATCTACTAGCTCTAAAAGAACTTACAATAGCAATGCCGCATCCTGGCCCAGAATTGAGGTTCTTTGCCTTTGGATGCTATTACATCCGGGTGCTTGATGACGTTCATGTATAAAGCAGTTGTACCACATTTATTCTGGCCCAAGATCATGAAGTAGGGAAGACAGCGCAAAGTCGGCATTTTCATACTCTCTGTGCTGTTTTCATACCAACATGGATTCTTAAACTGTTTCAAATAGGTTGGAGGTATCTGAAAAACAAAATCCTAAATGACATGAGCATGTCGCATGCCAATGTAGCGGAACTTGACTTGGTCGATCTTTGGCGGCCAAGTAGTTAAATTGGTAGAGCGACCGTCTAGAGTTTGGACCCCGATCTGGTCGTTGCATTTCTCTTTCTCCTGTTACATTAATTTTAACAAGTTTTAGTTGATTACCTTTATATTAACCTTTAGTCTAATTTTGGTTTGACTGAAGATGCATATAAAGGTATATTGATGACCTGTAAATGACCTTTGGTATGACTTAGAACTGGCATTGCATGTGCAGATAAAAGGAGTGTCATATTGATCGATATTGATATATATTGACCTTGGATTAACTTAGCATTTGGTATAACAGGTGCAAAAAAAAGTTATGTCATATTGATATATATTTGTTAGTTTGACCACGGACTTAGGTAATGTAATCTCATTCCGTGGTTTGACCTTTGGCGACATATATATGATGTCCTTTGGTTTAACGAAGGAAAAGATGTTGACCTTTGATCTTTGGTGACGTATACAGGGACCTTTGTTATTACTTTTAATTGTTATAATGTGTACAAATGAAAAATAATGTGATGTTGTTAAAATTAATAATTACTTTGTCCGTCGGTAGCCAAAGCAATGACCTTTTCTTAAATCAAAAATCAGTTAAACCCTTTTGTTTAAATGACATACATTTTGATTTTCAGTTACAAATCAACAAATTTATTTTCTATCAAAATTGCTTTTTTCTGACCTTTCCAAGACCGTTTAACTTGGATTTCACTACATAAATTCTGTTCAGTGGCACACGTGCACTGGATACTACTCGATATTCGTTAGTTTACCAATCTCTGATATTTTCACCTCCTACATGTAGTTATACATGGACTCAAATGTGTAACACTAACTACAAGTACATGTATGCTAGCAGTGTACTCATTCAATGTTGGTGCTATACTCCACTGAAAGTTGCCCCTTTGTCTATTTCTTTGTTCAAGTCTTTTCTCTCTCTGTTCAAGTCTTTTCTCTCTCTCAAAAAACCTAACTGCCACGCCCATGTATAGTTGTCCTTTTAAGGAAGAAAATAAATGACTGGTCTCATTAGCGAACCCTTACAGTAAACATTGGAAACCGTCTGTGTGAACGAGATACAAGAAATTCCTCAGTTATATCGAGACCATTATTACCTGGTTTCGCCGTTATATATTCCGACTTTTCGTATTGCAGAGTTATCTTCTCTTGGGAGCAGGTATTGATTGTTACATCATTGGTTTGTGTGAGAAAATTACGTAAGAGAAGATAACTCTGCAATATGCAAAGACGGAATAGTTATACGCTGCGTGTTTCTGTTTTTAATATCTCCTCGGTTCCTGTTGTCTTTTCAGAGTTTGTGTCCCAATTCTTGTAAGTAATGTATGTCACTAATGCTAATGCTCATACTGTTTAAGTAACCTATACGGGTGCATTTTCGTATCCAGCGAGATGTTATGATCTCTGAACAAACAGGTTTCTTTGTCTATACCTGTTTTCAGGGTCCCACTGCCATAAACTAGAACTACGAAATGAAGACTGTTTAAAGCATTTCTGAAAAGAAAACCAAACTTTGTGGTACATTAATTCAAAGTATTACAGATGAAATAAACATAATACAACCAACGACAATGGTCTCAGCTTCCGAGTTAAAGAAATTCAGTAGAGCAAGACCGGGTTTATAGCCTGGACTTCAGATTGTTAAACTATTGCTCTACCCGACTGAGCTACCTGGTGAACGAAAATGTCTCGACTCAACTGTGCTACAGTTGTATCCAAAACAAAATTAAATGGAGGTTACTGCATGTTTTTTAAAAACAGGGACAGGGATATCCTTAACCATCCGAACGATCTTCTACTATTCATGTCGGAAAACGCATGCTTCACTGTAACTAGGGGATGAATATAAGATTCAATATCTTGCTCTTTTACAAGACAATAGTCGATTATTAGATGCAAAACAGGAATTTTAAGCAAACACAAACAAAAATATTAGATAAAAAGGGGATATTAAAGAAAACATTAACAAAACTATTAGCATTATAGATGTTACCGTATGTAGAAGATCCTCTTTGGCATAATCCAAAAAGCGTTGTCTATAATCGATTTTAGCAGGATCAGTACTAGTGTTGTACGGTGCTGATTGATGGTCTTGATGTAAAGGCTGGTCATGTCTGCTTATTGGAATAAAAGGGATGAAATCTTTCCCTGTAGAATTCACTTGACCTGGTTGCTTGTCATTTATACCCGACGGAATAAAGGGGCGATATTTCCCGGTGGAATTCCCCAGGCTTGGAGGCTGGTCACCCTTAACATTGCCTTGTGAAGTGAAAGAGAGAACATATTTTCCTGTAAAATTTGTTTGGCTTGGAGATTGGTCAACATTTCCTGTTAAAACAAATGGAAGATGTTTCCATGTAGCCTGTATACTTGCAGAGAAATAGTATACACTAAAGACAGTGAGAATTACAATCACAACAATTGACACAAATCTGAACTTGAAATCCTTCCGACACATCATAGCTATAAGGGTACAGTTAACAAGCGGCGGTGTTCACAAAGTAATTTCCCCCAAAAAGTATATTCCGCAGAAAATCTGAAACAGAAAATATGTAACACCGTATTTTCTTATGATCTTTTGACGAAAACAAACGGTCCGAAAAGACATCACACAGAACGTTCTTCTGTCCGCATAAACACCCCGATAAAAGGGTAATACACAACAAAATACTACATTTGTGTCATTTCATGTTCCGTTTACTTATAGTTTGGGCTTCAGTAAGAAATATACCATGTGAAATACTCCAATGTCATACTAATCCGAACAGCATTTAGTGGTATTGTTTACTTAATTGTACAAACACTTTTTTTTGTTGAACTAGTACACAATGCATTCACATACTCTACCGTCAGTGTTAGGTATATCGCTAATCATAACACGTTTAGCCTATCTTGACGACAAGTCTTCTCTGTTGTTATTACTTATTTGTCAATGCAACTATTGAAGTAATACACATACAGCGAACATTTGTATGTTCGGATCCAGTGGTAATAAGAAACTCTTTTGTCATTTCTTTTATATTTTACCTTCACACGGACTTGGAATATCTTTATGTATATATATATGAATGGTTTGTTCTCCTTTCTCCCACTGTTCTGATATAGTACAGGTAGGTTATTTACCTGTATTTACCTGTTCACCAATAGGAAATACTGTGTTAATTATAGGAATATTTAACAAATATTTTTCCTGATTTTCGTAATATTTACTTTAATTATGAATAAATATTTTTACAATATTTTATTACTTAATAAAAACACATCAAAATACATTAACTGAAAACCTGCTTTTATTAATGTCATATTAAACCAATTTTATACATTTTTACTATACATTTACAGTTATGTTATATATATATTTCATAAACTAGAACTAAATTTAGCAAGCAATTTATGACAAATATAATCAGTAAAGACAGAGATCATGTATTACATTATTAAATATGCAAAAACAGATGCAAAGCTGGGAATGAAAATAAATAAAACGAATCAATTACATGTACACATGGAATACTCAGCGCTGGTTGATCAAATCAATCATATTCATAAAATACACACATGCACAAAGATACATGATATAAAACTAATATAATAGCACTAACTTACTAAAGGTGAAATATTCGAAAGTCAATAAAAAACACATAAGTCCACAATTTTAAGAAATCCTAGCAAAGCATCAAATAAAAATTCCATAACAAGCACATTTATAACAATGTCACTCGAAATGCAAAAGATGGAATGCTGTGTCGGCGTACTGGATTACATCTGTTGTACCATTCTCCAAGCGTTTCTTTAGTAGGTTAAGGCGGCTGTCGATGTTACGGTAGCTTTTTGCTCTTGGTCTGAGTTGTCCTCCTGCTGCGTGTTGGATGCGCGTTATCTCGTTGATGGCTTGTATTTCCTGGGAGACGCGGATGATACTGTAGATGTTGGAGTGGGCGTGTTCCACTTTCTTCATCAGTTTTCTGTGCCATCCCTCTATGTGGTTGGTTGTTCTGGGTCCCTCTACTCGGTCTCAAAGTGGTTCCAGAGCTGTTGATATCGATCAATCCACTGTGTCACAACGTAATCTATAAATGGAGTGGTGTGATGTGGAACATCAGCATCGTCTATGTCCTCCAGCGCATTGAACCAGACATCTTCTACATGGTCTAACGGAACAAGGGGTAATACAGCGACACGCCGTACACGTTGTCGGACATCGTCGTTGTGTGCGTAGAGATATTGAAGTCCGGTCTGCTGGACTTTCCTCCAGATACACTGTGTATATTGGAAGAAGCAGCCCTTCACAGCTCACAGCTGGAAACCCTGTGCGGATGGCGTTCTGGAAAGCAGCCTCAAAGTCCAGGAAAACGGTGGTGGGATTGAGTTGGAGGTTGAATCTTGGTCTTGGAGTAGTTTAAAGAATCTTTGGTATGTTGCCTGGCTCTTGCTGGGAAGTAGACTGTATACAAGTGGGTACATCTGGTCTCCAATTCTGGCATGGACGGTGTAGATCTGCTGAAACTGAGTTGGGCACGTGAAAACGTTCCATCACAGAGGAGAGTGTCGGCGTCAGGTGTTAAGATTCATGATTATCAACTAGAAATATCAGTGGACCCAAGCCATATGGGGTTATCAAATAGAAACATAACTAATGATTATGTTTTAGGGTAAAATAATCTAACGAGTGATACTAAGTTATTAATAATTACACTGAAGACGCATTTTTTGGTAAAAAAGATTCTCTGAAAATAATGCTCCAATATAAATTTGCTTCACCCTAAATTAAATCAATTTAAATTTAATTTGTTTTTTTAAATTAATCAAAGCATTATCATCTATATATATACTATTAAGAATATAAAATATATAAAATAATTGTGGATTTCACGTTACTGTTTTGTATAGATCTAGCTGATGAAAATGGTAAATGATGTGAACAAAATGTCTAAAAATGATGAAAATAGACTATATCAAAGCTACATGTATATGACAGTACTGTATACATGATACAGATAATGTGGGAGAACACAGGTAAAAACCAGGTAAAATATATATGAAACAGACTATAACTGCTATCACAACATTACTGCCTCTATGGGGTTTTTTTAAAGTGGGAGAAAGGAGAACACACCATATGAATCCTTTCCGGTTCAAAATGGAACGGAAGAACATACTACTCCCATGGTAATTATATTTTAAACGAAATAAAATACATAATTTTATTGGATTTTCTAATATTTTCGGATAAAAAGACTCAAAATTAGTTTAATGGATAACAAAAAATGATCAATAGACATGCATTTTGAGAACGGATATAACTACATGTAGAAAGTAACAGTAAAGTGTTCCCGTACCACTGCCAAATACCGTTACTTAGTGTTGAAAACAGTTTCTACCAGCATGACGATAGCCTTGCAAAATCATTTCTGAAAAGAAAGCCATACCTTGCGGGATTTTTACGAAAAACGGTAAAGGTTAAATAGAACAAAATGTAATCAACAAAAGTGTTCGGAGTGTATTAATTAAGCAGGGTTAGACCAGGATTCGAACCCTGGACTCTAACCAACGGAGCTACCTGGTCAACAGAAGTGTCCCGGCCCAGCTGTGCTACAGTTGTACCCAAACGGGAATTAAGGGGAGGTTACTGTATATAGGGGAAAAAAAGTGCAGTGGGACAGGGATCCTTAAGTTATACATTTTGAAACGACAAGTACTTGAATGTTATTGTTCGCAGGTTTTTTTGACCAGATCAAAACATCATAATAAAAAAATAAAACCAAATCAACATAATTAAGATTGAATTGGAACTTGCTATATCTGATAAGTGAAATAACACGTTGAATGGCTTGACATTAAGGCTTGCTTCTTGATACACACAATTTACACGTTTGGTGACTCTACTTTGATCCTACTTTTAAAAATAGAAAGTTTTCTATTTATTTTTCCATTGATCAAAAAAGTGCACGCATAAAGCAGAAACAGAAAACGGAAATCGAAAGCTTAGCATGAACAAATTCTGCGCCCCTGGAATATGTTCTAGCAAAATTGAAGGCACATGGCTAGCTTTTTGATTGATCTCGGGTGGAAAAAACTTGACTAAAAGCTAACACGACATCAAATTCGGTCAACATTACCGTTAAGCTTGTGCGGTATATGTTTGATCAAAGGATCAAACTAGTCTTGTCTCATTAACAAGCAGCTGGCGTACACCAAGCCTTCGATTTTGTCATCACATATTCCAGAAGTGCAGAAAGTGTAAGTGAGCAAACCCCTGTAGTATCTAGAATGCAAGGGATACTGCTAAACATGATAACAACATCGACATTCATATCACACAAAAATATCATTTCCCATATGAGATCATGCTGGCAACCATAACACTTACCTGCATCTTTGAAAGCTCTGTGTTGTAAATTTGTCCGTCAGCAGTCGACACGTAACACGAAACTCAATACTCGGAGTAAGCTACTGAATACTGAATCAACTACGACATGTACATGCAAACACCGTAGGTTGGGAAAGCTTGGACGTTACTATCAAGAAAAGGAAAAGTTCACGATCAGAAAGTCGAAATCGTGCTGCTAATCATACAGCTTAGTAGTATGTCGTCCCTTTTGGTCTGTATTGTCCTTGATTTCAAGCTCATTTGGGTGGGGTTATATACGACTAATTTCTTGTTAGTCGTCGATATATATCTGAATGTGACATTGAACGAATTAGCTAATTGTTTGTTACTAGTCCTCGCAAGATCATCAATGAATTCTGTCTATTATGTCTAACGTTAATGAAATGTGATGCGAATTCAGCTAGGATTAACTGTACTTTTAAACGTTTTCCTTTGAGATAATACAGATGTCTATGTATTTTTCTGTTTGTTTATCGATATCATGAAATATTCGGTTAAATGATTTTCCTTACTCTTTCAATTTTCATATCAGGAAGTAACCCATTTTATTATAAACAATTATTGAAATATGTACTTCAGTCCTTTAAACTTGGATAAACACTCAAGTGCACTGGAGTTAATATCGTTGATCGTTGTGCACTGGAGGGAGTTAACACTGTCGTGCACTAGAGTCAACATTGTAGTGAACTGGAGTACACTACAATGTTTTTGTCTAGTGCACTTCCTTGTTCACTACGCGTGCACTACAAAGTGCACTAGAAACCAAGTTAAGTTTGCTCCCAACTGTACATTTATCTATGAGTATTACACTAACTGTAATTAACTCACTTTATTTAATAAAGAGCACCGTACCCCGGAGGTGTTCATGCTACTGTAACATATATCAACTTTGCCAGTAACCTCGCCGTTTTTGTATGCACTCCTATTCAGTGTCGGAACTGTGTCTGATGCAGTTAACACAGCCAAACTCATTTCTTGAGCAATTTTGATATATGTATTTTCAGACACAAAAATCGATATCTTTTTACCAGTAAATGTTCCCCCACCAAGAATTGGAATTATTTTAATTTGAATTCTACAAATATTCCACGTAAAATGGTAAATCAGTCCATCTTTTTAAAAAGAGCTTGGAAAAGATTATGGATAGACCACTATTAGAATATTTCAATTGATCATTTAGAGAAAAGGAAATGTCAACAAATCAATGTCGGGGATTAATTAGATTTA